CGTGGTCATTACAATTGGTATCAGAAGTGAAACAGGAAAAGCTTTCGCTACTTTTCATTTTTCGGGGTTGCTGACAGTAGCTTTTCGCTATTGGGTGCTTTTTATTTTCTTTTCTGTATGGTGTTCCTGGCACTTATTTTGTGGGAGATGTTTTGACTGGGGATCGCTGGAGTTAAGCTGGACCCGGACGCGGCGGCTCGGGACAAGGAACTCTATGCCGCAGAGCTGATGAGAGCTGAACAGCACAAGTTCCGCATTAAGGAGGCTACTAGGAGACTGGCGGGAAGCTTGGGCTTGCGGGACCAGAGGCATCAGCGGGCTGCTGTGTGGCTGAACCTGGCAGCGCATGTGCAGCGGATCACCCTGCCCGCATGAAGACACCAAAGTATTCAGGTAAGGTGGACTGGGAGGCATTTCATGCTCAGTTTGAACTCCTGCGTTCAGAACTGTGTAACAAGCCCAGGCAGCCTGGCAAACCGCTTCGTTCCCTAGCAAACGACATAAAGAGCCTGTCTGCATGCATCTATGCTCATATGCCCCCGTCTGTTCGGAATGAGTTGGCGAGTGATCAGTTCATCCAGGCCCTTGTTCCGGTGGATCTCCACATACAGACACAGCTCACCCGCCCCAAGACGCTGCAAGATGCCTTGGAGATTGTGCTGGAGAGGGAGATCGTTTGTGGGACAGCGGCCTCCGGGGAGCTGCCAGGGGGGTGGTGAGGCTGGCGGATGTTGGTGAGGACCTTAGCAGACCTTACAGCCAGTAAGTGGGGCCCTGCAGAGTGATGGAGGGCTGGAGGAGCTGATTGTCCTCGCAGTCCACCCATCGGTCTAATGCACGTCCTAGAGTGTGTTTGGGGTGTGGCCAATCGGGTCACCTGGTTCGCCAGTGCCCTCGACTGCATGGCAGGCAGGGAAACGGGTCGGGGTCCGCATAGAGGGGACTGTGCCGGGTCCTGCCTCTATTCCCCAGCACAAGACATGGGTGCCTGCTAGGGGGGGACTGTGCATCTTCGGAGCCGGTGGTTGTTGTGGAGCGGACTGGTGTTGGTAACTTCTGCCACATTCCAGTCTTGAT